GCCAGTATATGATTCACTCTTTTTAATGACCTCTATTCGTGAATGATTCCCGCCCGGAAGAGGAAAAGGATTTGGCTTTTCTATGACTGAACTGAACAAGCAACGGATTGAGCAACTAGCGCGAAAGCCGTTGCGCTAACGCGCATCCGTTTTCTTGCTGCTTCGAAAAGTTTGTTTGGTCGAGATCTTTAAACCATCCCATTCCTTCTACCTCAGGAACTGCTGCAAGAAAGCGCAGCGAGGAAAGAAAAGAAGGCCGACGACTGGATAGAGTAGGTTTAGGTTAGCTCGTTACGTTTGGGACGAAACGAAAGGTAGTTGGCTCAAATAAGTGCGTTGGGTTAGTACAAATTGGAAGAAATTCAATGCGTTGCATATAAGCCTTTGGAGTAATTAGTAGAAGATCTCCCAGCGCTGTCCGCTGCTCTTCGATCTCCATCTTCAGAGAGAAAAGACAAGGCTAGCAAGGCGACTGGCAGAAGCTTCATCCCTTTCAGTTGCTCAATCCGCATCAACCGAAGTTCGAAGAGGCTAAACCCCACCCAATCATCTTGAATGAATCTTCCGTCCACGAGGCTGCTGTAAAAAGAGAGAAAGTCTTCTTTTTTTTTATGTCATCCAGCGTCAAGGCTTACTAGAAGGTACTAGACAAAAGACAGGCTAATAAGGGTCGGTCGCTCTTTCTAACTAAGCGAGAAAACCGATAAAGAAAGAGTCTCGGAGTGATGCTTAGGCCACGGCCATAGATAGATAGTACGGGGATGAGAACTTGCTACTGCATCCCTCTCTCTATCGGGTAAAACTGACTCTGCTTTCAGTCAATTACCGTGCTCTGTCTTCCTTCTTCTTGACCAAGGTGCCGAAAAGCTCCTGAACCCCAAAGCAGATGAAGAATTGAGCCCAGATCCAGGTCTTCTTTTTCCGCATTAAGCGGACGATATGTTATAGAAGGGATCCCCCAGGAGGTCAGGGGCACGAGAGGGGCTGGTAGGGGATCTACTATAGATCAGATGCCCTATGATGATAGGGCGACAGGAAGGAGAATCATCAGAAATCGGAAGATACCCTATCTCGGTAATAGAAGTTCCAGTTCAGTCTCAGTCTCCTCTCTTCGGTCGAGATCTTCGCTCCTGCAATCAAACGAGAATCCCAACCTGTGGGCTATACATCCGATCGGGCGAGCTGCTATCGGCATTGACTTTCTTGCTGCGGAGTCAGTTCCACCATCTGTAGCACCATCCATATTCGATACCCCTTTGGGCGGGTCTGCTAGCCTAAAAGAACATTGATGAAACTACATGGCATGGACTGCTATGCTAAGGTTCCGCCTTAATCTGTTAGGGCAACTCCTTATTCCTTGTCAGTTGAGTGATATCAGTCTCCTTTCTAAAGCACCTCCTCACTGCTTGTGGAGTGAACGGCATTTCATAGAGTCTGAGACCTCGATCTCAGTAAACAAAAACGAGAGTTTTCTCTGTTAGTTGACCAATGACTCATTTAATGAGTCAAAGATGGCTTCAGGTGTCCTTTTTCTATCTCCTAGCCCGCTCTTCGATCTGGAGATCGAAGACCTCCGCCCTTATTAGTAGTAGGCAACAAAGGCTTGCAATGCATTTCTTACTCCACGTAAAACAGCAACTAAGTAAGGGCTCCGACTCGACTTACATGACCGCTGCAACAGATTCAGCTTAATACCCCGATTCAGGAACAGATTCCTCAAAGGAAACAGATTCACCTTCTGATGCTTTCGATTTTGACTCCAGACCAGACCTGGATGGACGAGGGACTCGAGGAAGAAGTCCCGGCTAACTCCTATCTATCTTGACCGAGAAAAAGTTGTTCAAGAGGCTCAGCTCATATGGATTTGGGTTTTTCCGCTTTTGCGAATTCAGCAACTTCAATCAATCTCTTCTCCAACTTCTGTTTCTTCTGCTTCGATCTCTGAAGCATCCCTATAGTGCAAAGACTGATCAATCCTTCACCCTTAAGTCCCTCTTTCTCCTAGCACTAAGCATAGAAAGCTCTCATCTCACAAGAAAGCAAAGCCTTTTTTTCTTTCCCCGAAGCTACGTGTAATCAATTCTGAGCTTAGACTAGAGCAACTCCCAAACAAAGCGTTAATATTAGTAGTTTATATCTTAGGCCATTTCACCTGAAGGCGAGGAGCGATAGGAGTTAACGACTAGCGCGAAAGCTCTTTTCTTCCTGGTTCCCCGCCAAGCTAATAATCAGCAGTTGCTGCTGTCTTAGAGACCGAACAAAGACCAGACCGGATTGAACTTTAGAAAACCAGTGCGTGCTATCGACAGAACCGATCCCTTCTGAACCGAACCCTAAGGCAGGTCCTTCTTTCAGCGGGACGAAAAAGGCTTGAGCTAATATTCTTTGGTGCCTGCCTATTTGATTTAGGCTAAAACAACAGAAAGAGAAAGAGCATTACACTCAGACACACAGGCCCGGACCTATTTACTGACCGACCAGAAAACTCAGTAAATGGATTTGAAAACTTCCGTACCCGGCAAGAAAACTCCAGCAGCTAACGAGCAAGAAAAGGTCAGCCCTTACAGAGAGTGAAGAATCATACATTCAGTTCGAATCAATATACGCAGCAAGAAAACGGTCATCAGTGAGTTCATGGACCGGAGTGGGACTAGAAGAAAGAAAGATAAGAATTTGCTTTCTGAACAAGCGCTGCGACACTTGGGTAAGGGACGCGGAGACGGATACCGATTCAAGGAAAGAGCTTCTAGTGATACCGATTACCGATTCACTGATAGCGAACAAGCAACTGAGGACAGACTTTACTTCATGATATTGATAGTGTACAGGCTGAGTTAGAGGTATGGCTAACCGCAACGGAGTTAGTGCGATGAGACTCAGACTCCTCCTTGGTTGCTGCTTCAGCCTATGCTTGATGCTTCTTACTTCCTATCCGAATTCTTAGTGAGCAAAAAAGGAATTTCATCTGGTCGATAGCTCCTACTTCTTTACTGGCATTACGCCATGATAGGTCTTGAAGAAATCGAGAAGAAAAGATTGATTTCACCTAGCTCGGTAGGCTGTGCTATCTTTCTTTCTTGCGTCCTTTCAAGCAAAGCAGCAATAGCTGTGCTTGTACAGGACTCGAGCAAGATTTTTTCTAATCGCAGCGGAACAAAAAAAGATATCGTTATTCCATTCTTTCTATGCTGCGCCACAGCTCCATTAGTTTTGCCGCCTCAAGAGAGATGAGATTCCATCCCCGAGGTTGCCGAAAAGAAGACTAAAGAGAATCAATCCTTGATTGCCAATGGTCCTAACTAACGACCCTAACAAATACAATTGCCTATAGAAGAAAAGAAACTTACCCTTCCCTCTATAGCGAGTCTTCTCCGTTAGGATATACTATAACATTGCCCGCGCTAGGCATCTGATCCCGGTCTTAGACACGATCCTAATCCTAATGCTCTTGAGCAGGTTCCCCCACTCTGCTTCCTCGTTTTGCTTCTGGCAAAGCTTTGACTTTGCTTATCTAGGCTGAGAACTCCCAAGGCCTCCTCGGTCTGAAGGAATTCCTATCGCTCTGACAGCAGCACCTCTTCTTTCTATGCTACATGATAAGATTCTCTGCTTCGACCTAAGGGGAATAGAATTAGCGGCATAAGCGGGAGTAGGTAGAATGCCTGTAGCTCACAAGCGTAAAGGGCTCTTCCACCACAAAAGCGAGTGAAGTAATTGCCGATGTCAAAGCTCCTTATAGTTCTAGCAATCGATAGAGAACAAGGGATGCTAGCGCTCGCAAGCCAATCAAAGGCACCGACCCAAAGCACAAGCAACAGGGGCGCAACCGAAGGCAATATTATTCAAATAAATAACGATTTAGCCCCAAAAAAGGTCAAGGGTGTTCAACACCGAGTCGACCCCCCAGAGAGAGATGTCCCTTCTTTATGCACATCCATATACATAACCAGACACAAAGGTTTACAATCTGCGGTTCTTTAAGTGAATGAACTTACTTGCTCTAGTGGCTGGCAAAGGCCAACCGAGAGAGGAGAACGGAAGGCCTAGTCTTAGCGCTAACAGACTACCGGTCTTGATCTAATTATCCGAACAACTTTTGAACAGAGGCTTGTTAGCTTCTATCTCATAATTCACTTATGCCACTTTTTAAGCGCACCATAAGCAGCCAAGCATAGCATAGTGGTTCGCTCAAGAAAAGATATTTGCGAGACTTCATAGAATCTGGCTTCTTTTTGAATACCCTATAACCCTAATTCGATTACACACGACAAGGCGAAACGAAAGGGCTAAAAAGCTACATCAATCCACAGGAATTCAATCCTAGATCTCGTCCCGTAACAGCATGAATGCGCCCTCAAAGGGCAGCCTAAGGAAAAAGGAGGAGGCTTAGTAACATACAAAAGCTAGCTCCATGGGAAAAACTTCCTCACATACTGGATAGGTGGACCAGTACTCACTTTAAGAAGACTTTCAAGACTTGGTTTGCTTCCTAACTACAAAAATTCCCTTTTTCCTTCCGCTCCTAGTCCGCTTTCTAATAAGATAATATCGCTTTGTCATTCAATTCTTCCTATTCTCCTGCTACAAATGCCAAAACAAAGACGAATTCAGTCGCTAAGGGCTCGCTGCCTTAAGGTATGCCTTTAGCCCTAGTCCTAAGCAACCCGGAACCACCACGAACAGCGGAGTAAGCTCTCACGACGGCCTTCCTTTCTTCGGCATTCATTCGTCTCAAAAGAATCTTGGGCTACGCTCCTTGAATCTATCTATTCCGGTTACAGAGCAAGGGAGATGCCTCTGCTTAAGAAAGACTTGGAGTTCGAAGTAGCATGGAGCTAATGAGCTATTCCTCGCATCTCCTCCTTTATTTAACACTAATCCTCTCGTTATCACCCCTCTCCCTCTCGCTTACGCTCACCCTCTCGCATTCGTTCGAGCGTCTAAAGACCGAGCACTATCGCCCAGATCCGTTAGGATCTAATCTAAAGACCCAGAGTGTAAACACTCTAAACTAAAGTTCCTAAAGGTCCTCATCGCAGTCCTGAGCCTGTGCTTTCTGGCTTCTTCGCTGTTTCCATGCCTGTCAGAGTTGGAATGCCACCAGGTTCTTCGATTCTTTCTTGGAGCCCCACTATTACAGGGGTTGACTCAGCAGTCTCATTATTCGTCTCTTTCTCGTGATTCCTTTGCTTCTTCTGGTGCTCCTCGAATTGAAGGAATAGAAGGAGTAGGCACACTTTCTATATTTCCATTTTCTCAGGATGGAATTGGTCTTCGTCGGGGAATGGGAATAGAGATTCTCTTCTCCCTTCTTTGCCGCGCTTAGCCTTTCTCCGGTCAGCTGATATAGACTCCCCCCATTGGCACTTGTTTGTAAGTTAGCACATCAATGAATACGAAGTCTGTTGTCACGAGTGAGCACTAAATATGTATTAATTTCCGGAAAGGTAGTGAACTTGAACTTTTCCTTTGAGCTAATTACAGGGTGTAAAAGGAAGGACTCTGATGACATCGCACGTCGAGAAAGAAGCTGGCAGAGGGCATAGTCTTGATTCCGAAGCCGAAGGAGCAGGAGTTTTCAAATCCCACCGGGGATGAAAGTTAAGGGATGCTCGCTAGCAGGGATTCAAATTCATCCCGTAGGAAGGTTCCGTAGGACTTCTGTTTACAAGTCTTGTTGAAGAAGCCTTGACTCGTCTATCCGATTCCTCATCCACTCCTGACCGATGTAGAAAAAGTTCAGCCGAGGTATAAGCTCTTGCTAAGTCGAAGAGATCCGCTTTGCCATCTATGCCGCTCACTACCCTATTCAAGTTCTTTCAGATCCTGGCCTTGGTAGAACTTGTCTTTGATTGGGATTTCGATTGAAAAAGATGTTAGACCGCTTCCTCATGTGCCTAAGAAGCGGAGGAAATCTCGTTAGAGATTGGCCAATTCCAGTTTTTCCTACTCCATTTTTATTTATAGAAATAGCACTGGAAAGGGGAGCATAAGCAAGTTCAGTGGTTGAAACCTCTGTAATTGATCGATGGGAACCTCGAAGCTGTCTGAGGCAGGAGCAAACTCATATTAGGCACTGCCGCAGCATCAATCGTACAAGGAAGAGGCACGATAGCGAAGATCAATCCATCTCAATCTACAAAAAACATTGCCTTGGGCATGCAACCCAAAAAGAGAGAAAGACTGCTCGCTCGAAGAAAACTCTTTTAGAGCCTGGTACAAGCCAAGCCCCTTCGATTCGGCAGTCGGTTATGGAATAGTCTTTTGGTCGGCTTTCCCTATGGACTTTCTCTATGTGGGGCGGAGCTCTAAGAAAGAGAAAAGCGTTATCGCTATACGAAGCAGCGGCAAAAGATAACCAGTCACCTTTCAAGAATTGATTTCAGGTAAGGAAGGACTTACCCAGTCAAATTGCCCTACACGCTAGCGTGAAAGGGGGTTTTCCTCTTGGCCAAAGCCATCCTGTAGGTTTTTCTACTTCGTACACCCGACCGTACGCCAACTGCTTTTATCCCTGTCCTTTTCTTTTTGAAAGAAGCGGTCTTCCGAGATTACCATTTTTAGAAATCCCGGTTGACCCACCACAGCCTTCACTGATATCTTACTTTAACAGCTAGATTAGCTTTTCCTCTTTCTTCCCCCTTCGGACCTTGAAGCTTCCCGGTGAAACACCCAGCTAAAACAGCACGCGTGTGCCAACAAGCTTTCTTGGTATATGGATGTAACCAAGTGATTGAGCTCTTTTAGCTGAGAAGTTCCCTTAGCTTTTCACTCTTATTAGGAGAATCAAAGTAGGAAGGAGCTCTCTTACTTCAACAAGTACAGAAGTGCTGCAAATGGCAAACCGAGTCTACTTCGGGGGAACCAGTACGATATCTTTCTGTGGTTACTTACGAAATTTCTACTTTGATCTCAGTTTCTACCTACAGAGGATCAGACAATTGGACTTTTCCTTAGTTTATTCCTATTCCTATTAAAGAGTTTTCCTACCAGCTGCTGTTGCTTCTCTTCCTCGTCCGAACTCTCATTGGTCTAGCACGTTCAACTTCAAGCTTTATTTATTATATTAGAAAAGCTGCCTTCCCGCTAACTCGAAAGCGCCAGGGAAAGTGTTCTGGTGTCGGATAGGACTTTCTTTTATGTTACAAAAAGTATTATACAGCTATGGGAGCTCATGAACCTAAATCATATCGATGGTCTCGTTTTACTTCTCTACTTCTGAGAAGAACTCTTAATTTCTGCTTAAGCTTTGTTGACTCTTTCATTCTATGTTGCCTTAGGCTCCATCTTATTCTTTATATAAAGAATTCCAGATGAGAGAATAAGAACTGCAGATTGGGCGACTCAGGGATTTTGGTTAGCAATTAGGCTTTCACTTTGTCGGGCTTCCTGAGCATGTCTCAGTAAGGACCCTTTCTTACCTACATATGGCGGACGGATTCAACAAGGACTTAAAATCCCTGGAATAGGTGAACATCGAATGAAACTATATCGCGAAGGCACAACTACATCACTGACGATCTTTCATTAGGTAAATTCCCCCTTTCCTTGAATCGAAGAGTCATAAGAAGGCGAAGACCCATCTGTCAGGGCGTTTAGGCTCGCCAACGAAGGCACGCTTTCAGGCGCCAAGAAGCGTTGAGCAGTTCTCACATCGGATGAAAGTACGTGGCAAGCAAGGAGCTTTCTACGCTCATCGTAACTGGGAAGGAAGAAGGGAATTAGCTCTCAAAAAGAATGACTAAGCAGACCATTTGCTGATGGGTTTATTTGCCTTCCTTGCTTACTACATGACATGGATCTTCACTTCTTATCGCCTACTCCAATCTTTTGTGACAAGAAAAGTGCTATTCAAATAGCTTCGAATTTCTCGGCAAGAGAGGGGACGGAGGAAGGGGCAAGAGTAGCTGCTCATTGGGATAGGTGTAGATGAACAATACCCTCACGTATAGAAAGTTTTCTCCTCCTAGGTGAATTGACCATGACCAGTGATTTGATTCGAAGTTTTCACTATATATAGAATTCTCAAAGGGAAGCTAATATATACAATAAAGAAGCTGCTCTAAAATATCGTAAGAGAATAAATAGCGTAAAAGAATGTTTCGTTACATTCCATTTTCTTTTCCAAACCCAAGCAAAGCTTTTCCTTATCGTTCGAGTTCTGTTCTTGCTAGCTTAGGTTTTCAGCAAACTAGGGTAGGACGTGAATCGATCATGACGAGAATAGACTTCTTTGTAATAGAAGAAAGACTGTCGAGCATCCATTCAGCACTCACCTGGTCGTTCATCATTCAGTGTGGTGGGGCCTAGCAATATCAGATGGTGCTATCGTATAGTTTAGAAGGTAGGAGCAAGAGTGATAAGACTTTATTTTCGACGTGGCGCGTGCCAGCGATAACGAAACCTTAGTGAGCTCTTTCACTACTTTTTCTCACATTGGGAAATAAGATCCTTGTGGTTGGCAACTCTCATCCTTTTTTGAAAGTGTGTTGGCCCAGGGCAGCCAAAGCTGGTGGGAACCCGAAAACCTTAAGAGCCCATTAACCCATGTTCTGTTAAGCTAGCCAGCTAAGCTAAAGCTTGCCATCGACCGCTTCGTTCGGAAGTAACCGCATGCGCTCACCTATTCATCAACCAAGAGAGAGGGGAATAACCAAGCAAGGAAGCAGAGCCCAATTACCAATTCTATGTTCTCTCAATCCTCTAAGACCCTTCCCTTAGACAGACGACTTTATTACTTGCTGTTTATCTCGACCTAGAGCCTGCTTTCCTACTGGATTGGGAATAAGCGACTCCTACACTGGTTGGAAGCAAAAGGGGAACTAGTGAATTCATCTCAGATAGATGACGCGGGGAAAGGAATCAACTGCTGCTCCTGCTCTACTCTAAGAGATTCGACTCCTCTACTCTTTAGTAGTCTCATTTTTCTCTTCCCTCACAGAGGTCTTTCAAGCGGTCTTCTTGTACGAGCTTCCGACGAAGTACTTTTGGTCCATTAAATTGAGGCTCTTTCTGAAAGTGAGAATGTTTTGCTCTTCTTTCGATGAACTCGTTTTTGACCTAATTAGTAGGAGCTTTCCGAGGACTTATAGAAGCTCCTGTCTTGTCTTGCTGCTGCCATACCTTCTTCTCTGGTTGTTGGGTTATAAGTTGACTCTTTTAGCGCACTTTCTTTAGAAAAAGTGTAGTGCAATGGGTTAAGGGAGCTCGTGCCTCTCGGTCTTATGCCCTTCCTTCCCCGTTCACCCTTAGATGCAGATGCAGCACCTTACATCTTCCTTAGCACGTCTTTTTCTTCAAGGATTTGCTTGGTTAGACTACTTGGAGACAAAGAAAGGGGGAATGATGGATTTTTCTCATGCATAGTCTAATGCTTTAGAACTGGTCTAATAGCCTTCCTTAGAGAATGGAATTGGCTGGTGGGATATGCTAATATGTAAAGGTATAGGATAGGTTTTCTTAAGTAAAGTAGATTAAGAGTAGGCCTTAGTCCTATAGTACACTCTATTTACTTACTGAAAGATGAGTAATACGTAGCATTAAATATATAAAGTATTAAACTATCGTATTCAGAGTATTCCTAGACTGATAACTCCGAACTGAACCATGCCCGAGGGTAGGGTCAGAAAAAACTATCCTTAGACAAAGAGTTGGCTTTTGTTCACATCTTTCTCCCTTATATTTATTATTTTTATTAGACTGAATTGGCACCTTTCTTTCCCATCCCATTGGCCGATGTCTAAGTCTGTCCTCATTGATGGGAGTTTCCGTCAGTTTCCTCTTCCCTAGGGATATTCCGATATGAGCTGCTCTTGTGGAAGGACTTGGGAGGATTATCCCATTAGGAAGAATAGCACTCGTATTAGCTCCAATGTCCGGAGTCCTTGGCTTTGTTGGCTTTATAGCTGGCTTTGTAGCTGCTTTTCTTCTTCTTATGCTTGGTTTGGAACCAGGATCTCCTAAGGCAAAGAAATAAGACTACTAAGGCCTTCTATCGTTCTATTCCCCGTTCTTAACCCTCTTCTTAATCCTGCACTATCAGCAAGAGAGGGAAGAGCTCAACCAAAAGAGGAAGTAGTACCCCTGTGAATCAAAGGCTTTGAAGGACAATAGATAAGAAGGGCTCGGTCGGAAAAGTTAGAATGAGGAAGGAGCCCAATCTGATAGATAGAATCACTGATCGAATCGGGAATCGGGGTTTTTTCATACTCCTACAAGGTACTACTTTCATGGTGATTAGTTTTAACCTCTATGGCAGACTGAAAGCACAGAAGCTAAGGATTGACATGCCCCAGCTTCAAAGCAGAGGGGAAGAAGCTTTCATTCGACAAAAGGAAGCATCGGGGGAAGATCTCAATCAGGAACTGATACGCTACCTGGAAAAGTATCAAGCTTCAATTGCATCGATCCTGCCTTGCTTTAGGTCATAGTATGCGGTAAGAAAGAGTTAGAACTTCGAGCTCACTTTCGACAAAAGCCTACTTTCTTCGAAGAAAGATCGACCAGGAAGGAGCAAGAAGACCTAGGAGACGAGACAGCCCTTTAAAGCATCGGACTATTCCTTCTTTTCTTCCAATCTTTCAAAAGAAAAGTTAGTGGCCCAATAGAGCGACGCCTTGAGTGAGCACAGAGGTATGCATGTCATTACCAGCCCCGCCTCGCCGGTAACCATCTCATGTAGTATTTGGAAGGACAGGTTCAGAGCTAGAAGCCGGGAAGTACCTACAGTCTGGGAAGCAAGCAGCTCCGAAGATGTCCTTCTTTGGCTCTTTAGGATGGTTCTCTCTGAAGGCACTTTCTAATCAATTCGGATGGGTTTCCTAGATCCCAGGCATTAGAGACAGCAAGGAAGACTACTACAGAAGCCCGAGCGACTTGGTAGACACTTCATGAGGTTTGAGTCGGCCTAAGGGGAGAAAGCAATCTAGTACTACTAATCCACTAATAGAACAAGGTAAACCCCGGAACTACCGCTTCTAAATCTTCTACTGATTGGTCCTACTACCTGGAACGAGGGAAGCTTGTCTTAGTTCCTACTTGGTACCGAGCTTGGTTGAAGTCAGACCCTCAAGCAAGAAAGGGAGCTCCACTATTATGACTATTAGGGATAAGTCTTTGATCTGCTTTTTCTTTATCGATTGGGTTCGTGTGTAGTGTACGAAGATTGTGTTGCCTATGCGAAGTTTCTATTCCTTTTCTTCGCTTCGCTTCGTTTGTTTGGCCATAAGAGAACAAAGTCCTGCCTTGGGTCACGAGCTCCTCGGAAGTCACGGAACTCTTTCCTCCATAAGTCAAATTTGTTCACTCCGTCATCAGTGAATCCTGGTAATCTGACATGGTATGCCCAGATCGACTAAACGAATAGGAGTAGGAGCTAGTTGTTGACCAATCATTCCCGGATAAGCTCCCGGCTAGGCATCAGGAGAAGACTTCACTACAGCACTAACTACTTGGAAGGGAAGTCAGTCTTCGAGTTGCAATAGACTGATCTTTCAACCTTAGACCACCCCAGCGAGTAAGGGAGTGAGTCTGTCAAAAGAAGCTCTTAAGAAGCGGAGTTTCACTCGACAAAAAAGGTTTGGACTGAAGACGGAGAAGAACGAAGATCGACTGACTTCTAGTTGCATCGGATCGTCAGATCTGTTGCCAGTGTAGATAGAAGGAAAGGAGTAAGGTTTAGGTTCGATGCAATTGACCCTCTCCGGTTGAGTGACTTCACTTCGAAAAGTTCTGTTAGTCTCACTTCTTCTCCTCTCCTTCTATTCGAGCCACTTCGTGCCAAAGAAACTTCCTATTCAGTTTATCCAGTTCATTGGTAGTCCCTTTAGGCAGCAATGTAGAAAGCATGTGATAGGAGGGGATACCTGAGGTAACTGAGCTTATAAGAGTAGCTTTTCCAGCCAAACTTAGATGCTTTGTCTTCCAACCAGAAAGGCGAGACTGAACTTTCTCCACTACTTCTCAACTTTGTCGACCAAACTTTAGAAGCGAAGCGCAGTGAAGTCATAAGTATTGGCGAAGCGAAGTTCAGTCATAGAAACCAGCTCTAAAGGCAGCTACTGACTCGTCAAGTTGAATCGACTGTGATTCTTCTTGTTCCGCTGTGAATGGTATCCTTCTCGTATGAAGTAGTTTTCCCGGCCCCTAAAAAAGCACCTTACTGGATGGCTCCCGTCAGGACTGTAATTGTATGGGCAGCTCTAGTTGATTGACTGGTTTCGCCCTCAGCCCCTTCGACTACTCTGCCATCTACAACTTATAGATTAGAAGTAGTGATAGTCTGCCTTATAGTTTCAATATCAGATACCGGAACGAGGTCATACCACCAACACGGCATACTAAAATGACAACCCTACTCAAGACGCTGAAACCGCACCTTGAGAAATTACTTAAGTGATAGATTCCATCATTTAAACCGACATATCTCTTTCCTCTATGACTTCACTGCGCTTCGAAAAGTTTGTTGGATTGAGTTCCTAATACTGGACGGTAACCAACCCGTGGATCTGCTAGATACTCCCCTGGGGACAAAGTAGCTCTACTGAATAGAGTATGTGCTGTATATTCGTTGAGCGTGGGTTCGGCTAACTTAGCTGTACGAGCTTTTTTCTTTGTTACTGGACGGCATTGCCGATAGTCATCGAAACTATTGGCGTACCAGTTATAATGGCTCAAAGGGAGTAGCTGCTACGAGTCTGACTTCACTTCCATTACTTTCTTTCCTCTACAGGACTGAACTTCGCTTCGCTTCGTTCGTACACTTCACTTCGGTTCGGTCTCGATCTCTTGTCTTCGCGTTGCTCCGGTCACAGTCGCTCGGTGTAGTCTTATCTTCGGTTCAGTCAGTAGCTCGCCTCAGTTTCAGTAGCTCGGATCAGTCCAGCTCATCGTCATCGTACACTCGCTTGTCAGCTCTGACGCCTTCCCTTTCCTCGAATGGTTAATCGCGAAGGTGTGGGGGCGAACCCCTCAATTACATCGACCCTTGCTTTGGAGGGGCTTGGCAACACCCGAACAACTGGTAAACGAGAAGTCCTAAGAAAGATCAGATCTTCAACGCGATGCCTCGAACGCACCTCTGTCTATTCGAACAGTACGAGATCAAGCAAGCGGGAAAGAGTAGCCTTGGGGCTACACTTTCTTCTAAATGGTTCGAAAGAGTACTGGTTCGTGTGAGTGGTGTACGCCGTGTCGATAGTGTGACATGCCGTAAGTACATCACATCAAGAACCAAGACAATAAATCGTTTCTCACCTGGCTTCGCACCTCGATTTCATAGCTCTCAGGAACGATTGCTGGCGGCGGGAGACTTATCATGTGAAAACTACGCTATGGTGCGCCCGTCTTCGGCTTGACCAAAAGAAGGTTAACTGCTGTGTTGGCCCGGGGTCACTCCCCAGGGCCAACTAAGCTTCCCAACAACAACCCATGAGTTCTCACTCCTACCGATGATTGCTCGGCATTGCCTCGAGGTTGAAAACTCCGTAGTGAAAACAAAACCCTAACTCCCAAGCAAGGGAATTCATTCTATCTCCCATAGCTACAATGGTTTTACCGATCCCTCATGTTTGGTTATTGATTCCACATTTTACGCCTTCCCCAATCAACGGGTCAAGCACCGGGCATACTATGCTCCTTCGATTAGGTCTTTGGGCAGGGCCATATCCGCGTTCCCACCGCAAGCAACCATATCTTCGGCCTACGGCGTACTCACGCCGGATGGGCAGAAGGCGGAGGCACCATCGAGGGATGGAAGGGACGAACTGGATAGTGGTGTTGTTTCACCCGCTTCCGTTCCACTCCTTCGCTTGTGATACTCTATGGCACTTGCTCACTCGTTACACTCTCGTCATACCAGGAGTACCATCGGAAGTAGAGAAAACGAAGCCCTGTAGGAAAACATTTCAGACTATCCGCTGAACGTAGGGAATGAAAAAGCGAGAGGCCCCTGAAAGTAGTCCAGACAGGAGAGCGGTAGTTGGTTCAATCAGAGGTGTTAGGCTCTTGAAACCATAGCTGCCCCGGAATTAGAGAAAACCAACAACTTGAAGTAGCTCTTTCTCGGAATCCGGAACATGAAAGGGTAGCTCAATAACTCAATCGATACCTCACATACACACACGGAAGCTGACTCAACCAACTACGCGCAGGGAGATAACTCAGTAGTCTAACTCAATCGGGAGCTACATTAGCAACTACTTCGTTCACCCGTAGCTCTCATGTCCGATGCTCGACATCAACCCGCGAAAGAAGGATTTGATCGAAGGCGCGAAATCGAGGCCACGAGAACGAGTAAGACTCAGGCATTAGTACGCCCCCGGAGCTCTTCCCTTTGGTTTGAGTTGTTGGATGGAAAGCGTCAAAGACGGATCTAAGACCTGTCCCAAGGGCCATCCCCTTTAGGGTTATTTATTCTATATTAGCATTAGCGCTCGTGAAATGAAAGTGGCATCGATACGCCTCAACGGCGAAGCGCTAAAAGCGTGGTTTGTTAACTCGTCAGAAGGAGGAAGACCGAGACGGGACCCCGCCCAAGGGTTACACCCTATTCCTAAACTTCAGAAAGGGTTCTTACTTATCGCCGAAAGTGCACGAAAAACTCGACAAACAGGCCCGGGTCGTCGTCAAACTGGGCACTTATGGATTCCACTCTTCTATTCGGTGCTACTGAACAAAAAGACAATCTTTGGTTCGCTAATCGATGAGTTTGTCGAAAAAAGGGCTTGTCAGCTCCCTTATTTATAGTCAATCTGGGTTTCTAGTAAATACAGGTTGAATTAGTCCTTGGAAGTCTCCCTCGTCTGGGGTCTTTCGATGGGATCGGGTATTCCCAGGAGTCGTTAAAGTGCTAGGAATGAAATTGCCCTTTGGGGGTCGACAAGCCAGAAAGTGGATCGGTAAAGAGCGGGTTACCTGGATTGGGTCCTGGGAATTCCCCTTTGGAAAGTACCTTCAGAAATAGCATATATAATAGCTCTAGGGCTGGGGTCGGAAACTAGCCAGCAAGTCAAGAGGTAAAGGAGTTCAGAGGAATGGGTCTGGAAGATTTCCACATCGGGTTGGGGAAGATGGTCAAATCAAAGCCTAGGAATTGAGCATAAAGAAATGTACAAGGCTTTCAATCGAGTTAGGGCCCACCCACGAGGGCATAAGAACTCAGGTTTTTCAATCCAGTATTTTGAGCAATATTTCCGAAAGCGCGAAAACCGCTCCTATCTTTTGGTGGAATGGGCGAGGAAGTTTAATCTGGGTTGGGTCGGGAAAGATCCCTAGAAGCGGTCAAATCCTTTGTTTGTATATTCATGCGTATGTGGAATAACAAATGCTCTATTCCTATCGCTCTCCAGGTCTCCAGTCTTGGCGTTGTCGTGTTTCTGGCTTAGCTGGGTTAATAGTATAGTAATAGAAAACCTTTCCATTCCAGCAGGAGTCCTTTCCTGTGTTAAGACCAAGCCGTCAAAGCAAAGGATGAATCCGCCTACTCTGGGGATGGGGACATACGGTAAATGTACGAGTCAGGCTGGTGGATCTAGGGCTAGGGATCGGGTCTCTCCCCAGTCTTCCATCTCTTGAATCTTCCTTCTCTTTCTCTGGTTTTCCAGTAGAGGAGACAAAGAGCGGGCAAAGCGGGCATTCCACCGGTCTGAATCTCTGGTTCGGGAATTATGGTAAAAGCCTCGATGAAAATAGTGTATAGAAAGTTCCAAACAAGCCATGTAGGAAATAGAAGAGGTAGAATCAACCACGAGCACCTCGAAACGCAGGTTTTTATATGCAGGGATCGATTTACGAAAGCGACAAAAACAGCTCCTCTATTTTCTAGTTTGGAGAAAGGGATAGAATGGGCAAGGGTGTTTACCCAGGGTTGGGTCGGGAACTGGAAATGGAAAGGCAAGGTTTAGCAGTTGGATTCTCCTGGCTGGTCGGGAAATCTTTAGAAGCTCGGGCAAAATAGCGTCTTTTACACGTGAAAAATCCCTTAAAGGCTGCTTAGAAAAGAGTTCCTAAAGATAAAGATGGGTGGAAAGGCTAGGGATCGAGACCTCCGATTCCAAAGATTAAGATTGAAAACCTGAGATGGAAAGACGTTAACCGTAGTTGGTTCAGTCAAAGGATTACCAAAGATGGGATCAGAGGAAGAAGACGGAGGAGACGGGGTGAGGGGATTGCTGAGTAGAAGAGGGCTCCTGTCTTCCAGTTGTTCTCCCTTCTATGGTTTTGGAATACTAGAAGAAAAGGAGCTCGGCTCGGAAAGGGATATACCTGAGGGGATTCGGAGTCCTGGAAGTCGATAAGCCAGCAAGAGCCAAAGGGCAAGAGTCTTATCCAGGTCTTCCACATCAGGTTTCGGAATAAGAAATAATAAAATAACGTATAATAACATCGGTTTGGCAATTAGGAACGAGGTTTCGGAGGAAATACCAGAAGGGAGTCGGAGTCCTGGGCAAAAGAGATAAGTGAGGGAAAGCCATACATAGGTCCTCCTCAGGTTGGGAAGGAAGGAATAAGATAAGGCAGGAGTCGGGTTGCAGACTCAAAGTAAGGAGCCAAAGCAGCAAGTCTTACACATCCGGTTGGGATAGATGGTTAAGCTACCAAGCCTTCTACTCAGCAAGCGATCCTGTCTTTCGTCCCTTTCGCATATATAAGATAAGACCTGCTACTACACGTGAGCACATTAGAGGGATAAATTAGATATCAACTGACAAATGTTAGAAGGAGCTAAATTAATTGGTGCAGGCGCAGCGACTATCGCTTTAGCAGGGGCTGCTGTCGGGATTGGAAACGTATTCAGTTCTTTGATCATTGGATTGAGAGAAAGCAAGCATTATTTATAGAGAAAAGTGCCGTAAGTCCCCAAGGAAAGGTAGAATGCAGATTCAACTTCATTTCATCTTTACTATATAGGCAGATGATCTTGAAACCTTTGCTTACCAGTCCGAGGAGCAAAACAGTTATTTGGTTATGCCATCTTGGGATTTGCTCTTACCGAAGCAATTGCCTTGTTTGCATTAATGATGGCCTTTTTGATCTTATTCGTATTCTGATATGAGAAAAACCAATAGATTCCTTTTGAAAGTGCCCTTCCCAATAGAATGAGTGATTGAAGATCTCATTTCTTTTGGTCGATTCGGAATTGTGACGGATCGAATGTAGCCTTTCAAACAAAGAATCAGATCCAAAAGAAAGGGCGGTTACTCGGCACCAGGATTGGCAGCAGGTGCGGAAAGGCAAGGAAGGCAGGTTTCAGAGCTCGATAAAGCGGACGAAGACTTCCAACGCATATAGGTGTAACTAACCGCCTGTTATCTCGGAAAGTAGAATCGCAGGCCAACGGGCGGCAACGTTAAGTATGGCAAGCTAACTGCTGGGAGAACGGTTAGTGTACCAACAACTGAGGAAGGCGATCCAGGCATTTTGAAATCGTGATCCAAAGAGAGTCCTAGTCGCCATAGTCAGATCAGAGATTTCGATGTAGTTCCGGCCGCAGTCGCGCTGTTGCCCCCGTTTGGGAAGCATGTGAGTTGGAATGTACTATCCTCCCGACTGGCCAGCGAATGACGCGAGCGCGACAAATTCCTGATGTGACCACGACTCCCAAACCATCTTCCTGTGTGTGCTATCTATAATAAGGAATAATACCCGGCAAAGTCATTCAATCTCCAATTCCCTCTTTCTTTTCTTTCCTCTACGCCACGGAATGAATAAAGGGAAACTTTCCTCGTAGCCGCTAATCCGCTCCTCTACGCCCAAAACCAGTCTCTACTAAACAACCAACCGGGGACTGTATCCGAGCTTCCAAATCCAGATGGATTTGATAGAAAATCTGATAGGCCCCAGATATTAATAGAACTGGGCTGAGGAGCCGGTGTACGATCCTGACTTTCATGAAAGACGGCAGCTGGAGAAGCTGCAGCAGACCTATTATCCGATTGATCCGGCTGTGGAAGGTAAGTCCCTGGACTGCTCTGGTCGGATATTAATACCAAAGATCCAAAGACTTGAAAGGAGGCTACTTATGCGGCAGGGGCGGAATTGGCTGCTGGATTGGAATTAGACGGGGTAGAAACTTTATCCGAATTATCTTCAAAACAAAAGCTGGAGCGGAATTACCAAAGGCGGCGGAAAGGGATGATGTTGGATTCTTTTACCCTTTCTAATGTGAGTGGGAATGTCATCACCGATGCGGCGCATCGAACCAAGTCTTTTATGAGCAGATTTGTTGTATTAGAGGACATTGTCCAAAAGATCGGAAGTAGTTGAGGCAATTCTGCCATCGGTTAGGCAGCAAGTGGCCCCTTCGGATTGGACAAGAAAGTCGATATTTCTACCTAGGCATTTCTTTAAGATGTTGTCATCGGTTATGCGAATCAAGGTCGGATGAAGGGTTTGTTTGAGGGGAAGCGATAGAGGGCTGTGAACAAGGAAGCTATATGCCTCACTCAGATCCATAATACTAATCAGCATCGGTAGTTCAGCAAGGGGTATACTATTCTCTCGGACGTGAATGTGTCTGTTAGCAGAATCGGCAGATGCCTATCCCTTATCCAGACGATCCAATTGGTAAGGGATATAGCACCTTGGCGTGCCCCCCTCCCTGGCCTCCAGTAGGATGAGTAGTAAAGGATGGTCGAGTTCTGGTCTTGTTTTCGTCCCGGCAAATTCATCAACCAGAAAAGGGTGACGCTAGCTATACGAAGATCCGAAGCCTTGTCAGTTTATCTCCCTTCCGGTTATACCAGATAAAAAGTCTAGTCAAGAGCTGATCCAATAGTCTTGGTTTTCCGGCAAATAGAGTCCATTAGCCCGGGCTTTCGGAGATGACGACATAAACTCTTACAGAAAAAGGACTCTTTTGGGGACTTGTGCGTACCCCCCCTCCTTGACAACTTCAAAGAGCAAGATATGTATAAAGAAAGATAGTCGGATGCAGTTTTGTCCCTTGCTTCTTCGACAACTGGACATTCACTTTCGTCCAATCTTTTCGTTTGACCGATTGTGCTCGTGTTACACGTACCGCTCAGAGCTATAAGACTTTGCCTCGAACTTCTGGCATCATTGGTAGAATTGCCTCAACTCTATGAAATCCAGAATATAGTACTGGCCAAGAACCAAAGGGCAAATCCAAGAAATACATAAGAAATTGATTCAAAATGATGTGCGCAATAGAATAGGTTGATTTTCAAGATTGGGAAAGCCAGCTTATAATGATAATATAGCTGTAGCTCCCGAAGTAGCTGTCTTGCCGGGAAAGTAAGGAAAGCAAGGATCCTAGCTAAGAGTTCAGGCATAGCATCTGTTAATATGTTAAAGTTACATGCTATGGTTCTTATCCAGCCCCCGCCGGAAAGTAAACCCTCTAGTCAGGTAAAACACCAACTTCTGAGAATCTTATAACATCTGATAACTATGGACTTTCTCTGCTTTTTGCCCGCTGAAACTGATGACACTTTCGAGCTTTTCTCTGACAACCTCTGATAAAACTACCTCAGACCACTACGTGCGCAATACCTTCTTTAGGAATTGATGCTCTGGTCTTCCCCCTTCGTTAACATAAGGATTGGGTAAAACTTGGACCCATACCTCGGGGACTGGACCTGCTCCTCTGCTTGCCTGCTCATCTTCCGTTCTTACTGAAGACTCACCGCTGGATCCGGTCGTCCACCCCCATCAGAATAGACTTGCCGTTGGGATGCTCTATTGGCGACATTGGTCTCAGAGGTATGTAGGGGAGCTCCTGGATCAGTTTAGCTTGGAGGTTCGGTGGAGATTTACCTGATGTTTCGGGCAAATACAATATGGATTGATCATTCTAGTTTTCGGGGGAAAGGACCCAAAGGCGGGCCAAAAGCGGAGGGATTCTACTATAGGTTGGGCGAAAGTCCCCCTATTCCCTAGCTTTTGCTCCTTTCATTGATGGATACAAGACCAGCCTACACCTCTGGCTACTTAATACGACCCCCACTAAATAGGAGTTCTTGAGTTGACGAGTTCAAGAGCCCTTGACTAACAAATAATCCAATACGACTACCAAAGAATACAATATATTTCCTGAATTCACTAATTTCTAATTTATCGCGCGAAAGAAAACAACCAGCTCAGCTTTGGCAAGACCAAACCCAAGTAGCTCCTTTCTTTAATATTTATGCTCTCGCCCAACCCCACTAACAAATAAATGCGCTTTCCTACGAGAGAAACTCCATATCTTTCGACCGTGTAAAAGAGACTCTTTTTCTCGGACCTCGTACTCCTAACTTGTTCTGCTATCTATTCCACAACTCGTCATACCGGTGGGTGGAAGTGGAATCCCAGATCCGAAGGAAGGGGAAACTAGAATAGCAGGAAATCTACCCTGAAATGTGATATATCCCTCACGCTTGTTTGTAAGCCCTTGCTTGTGATTCATCCTCGCAAATAGTGAACTGTACATTTCCATTACTTTACGCTATCATTTACGCGATATTTCCCATCGCATTATGGCTTAGCTCGTCGATCGAAGGACTGGAAATACCCGATCCCCGAGGTACGAGTGATCTGAGCTCCTGTTAGTATTTGATTCCGAAACCAGAAATTGGTATTATTCCAAAACCAGAGAAGGAAATGGCAGATCCACGTGAAGATCCGCTTGCCAGCTCGCATCTAAACTCTGGACTCCGAATCCCTGATCGTATTGATACTCAACTCCTAAATCGAGTTCCTAATTACCAAACCAGATAAGGAAGGAAGATCCAATGCAGAATGTACCCTTCCCCCTCTACTCCCTTTCCGACTAATGAAGTAAGTAAAGGCCGATAGAGCCTTCTATTTTGCATCTTTGTCGTACGTCAGGCAGATCTACTAAAGGAGAGGAGCTTCCCGGAGTTAAGAAAGGGTTTATACACGATTATACGCGAAAGGTTAGTTCTTTGCTTTTCCTTGTGATAAGATAAAGTGATAAATCACCCGTTAGTCAGCGTCGGTGAAGTCTATCTAAAGTCAATCCAGGGAAGTCCCTGCTAGTGTCAATCCAACCCACGTTCTGGTGAAAGCTTACCCTGAACTCAAGAAAGCCACGAGAGTCCGGCTGTAGGCTTTCCAGAGACTGTTTTTTCCGCTGCTGTAGTCGATTTACTGGTTTTGCGAGGCCGTCGATGCTCTTTTAAGCATTATTTAAAGGGATAAAAAAACCTTTGTGATCCAAAGCTCGAGCAATAAATTACCTTACTTACGATAACTCTAACTCTGGTGAAGCTCTTGTTATTGAGGGCAATTAGCATCACGCCTCAGGTTCCACATTGTGTTTGTGCATGCACACTACATTCAACGGCGCAGGCTATGGTCGGACATTATTCCATTTTATTCCCTCCCTATACTGGTCATTGGGGATTTCAATGCCGTCCTGGGTGCTCATGAGAGACGTAGTACGGTCCTCCCTTCTCGGATTTCCTGTGAGGAGTTCATAAACCTTATTGATGATTGTCTCCTTGTTGATGTTACTATGACTGGTAGTAAGTTCACCTGGTGTGGGCGCCGACACACTAACAGACACGTGGAATCTAGAATTTATCGTGCTCTTGTATCGGAATAAGACGCTTACCTATTTGATAGCCTTAGCTGGCCGTGCCCCCGAGAAGATCTTTTCCAGCTTCTTTCATAGTAGACCGAGCGGTGTAAGTAAGTAGTTCTAAAGACTGAAGTCTATTCCCCGGTTTCATTTTGGTTTGGAAGGAATTCAATTCAAAAGGGCTAAAAGGAATAGAATTTTTAATGAATGAATGAACGGTTAGAGCTGTTAATGAGCCTGCATTTCTTCCTTCTTCGTCTGTGCGGCAGGATAATATATATTTGTATAGTGCGCTTACAGGCACCCATTACTATTAGCATTAGCTCTATCTATTGCCAGAACCCGTCTACGCTCCTTCTTTAGCCTATGCTTTTCAAGGACTTGTAGCCACGCCGGTGAATTAGGCAATTGCATAGCGCCTTTTCTAAGTCATTGAAAAAGTGTCTATACTGAACCAACCAACGAGCGTAGGTTAGCAACCTCCCTACGAGCTTTGGCCAGGAGAAGCCGCCACTGAAGGAGGTAGGTCGGTCAAGGCAATACCTTCGACTGCTGCTGAGCGACGGAAGGAATAAGAAGTAAAGCATCCGGGGGAGCATCTTACTCGACTGGATGGGAATTCCTTTCTTTCAACCAACTTCATAACTTTCTTATCTCTTGGCTTGATCGCGCTTTTGAAGCGGTGTCGTGCTTAGCTACCTACTCTGCGTCCCTTGGTTTGGGAAGGCTCAAAAGGCTTAGTTATCAAGGTTTTATTTTATTAGTTTGACCGAATTCTTTTTTCTTTATTTTTAATCCTAATCCACGGGAGGTCAAATTCAGACTTTAGACTGCTGTTCAATTATTTCAGTGTCATTCTCGATCTAACAAGAATGGAATCACGCTCTGTAGGATTTGAACCTACGACATCGGGTTTTGGAGACCCGCGTTCTACCGAACTGAACTAAGAGCGCTTATTCCTCCAACAGTTCCTTCTTTCAAAATGGACATATCGGAAAGGCATAAGTCCCACATCTCTTAGGCGCCAAGAGAAGAGTCTCAGATGTCCATTATTCAAAACCAATAGTAGCCCGGCATCGGGAATCATTTACTTTATAAGATAAGAGAATGGTCTCTTTGCTCTTCGCCCCTTGAAAAGAGAGTCCATTTCGCGCTTACTTGCCAAGCCTTGTCCACCCATGCCCCTCTTCCTTCTGAAAAGGAAGTCCCAAGACGGATGTCTTACCTAATACCTCAGACCCTTTTCTATTCGTAGACGCGGGGAATCGCTCAAACTATGTTTGAAAGGAAAGATTTGACTCTCTCTTATACGCTATTTGCAGTTCCTTCCTTGCCTTACATCTCTCTTAATTCAATATCTCTCTCTCCTTTCTCCTGGTCTGGTAGTATCTTTGTCCCATCATTCCCTTTGAGGGAGTCCCAGAGCCTATTCTTTCAAAGAGCGCATTCCCCCACACCCTATTCTCTAGCGGCTCTTTCTGTGCGTGGTTCTCTTTATACTATAGATCTGATCTGGGAAGCAAGCACTCTTCTGTAAGCCTTCGAGAAGGTTCGTAGCCTTGCTAACGGTTTTCAACCTTTACCTATGTGCCTGGTGACTGATACCTGCCACCCATACGTGGGAGACCCAAGCAAGACTCAATTAGTTGTCCTTCTAACTGCGCACTCTTCCTTTTTTGATTCACTGTAACAAGCCCTTTTTCCACTTGTTTCTTGCTTTTAAAACTCTCCTCTTAGTTTGAAACTAGTCTGAGAAGGGTCAACGTAGATAACATTAGGCTGAGCACAGCCATCAGAAAGACCTCGAGCGAACAAAGACCGGAACTAACTGCTCGCTCAATGCGCAGAACCCTTCGGAATGGGATCAAAGCCCGACGAACCCATAGTAGCTTAACTTGTCTATCCGCCAGCACCATAAAGCGGATACCGAGGCATTTGAACCGGAGCTTTCAGCAGTTTGATACTCGGGCTTCAGTAGCCGATAGGAGCTGGCAAATTCCAAGTTGACCATGTAAAAAGAAAGAAGGGGGCGGGAAACAAAGGCTCGGGCTCAGATATCAATAGCAGCCAGCCAGTTAGTTGAACCAATGCCAGTTGCAGATTCAATTGCTTCGTCAAAGGTCAAAGAAATAGATCAAATTTCGAGCGCGGTCACAGAACCACTACGGGATAGTCCGTGAGACAAGACGGGATCCAGATTCATATCCCTCAGCCACTAGTGGAAGACCTATCAAAGGAAAAGGTTGGTTGGGAGCGGGAGGGAGTCAATTACAGAAAGAGTAAAGACGGATATGGGGACTCTAGCTCCGACCATGTCAACTATGATGGTCTCGCTGCTGCCAGTCCTTCCACCAGTGAATGCTGGCACGCGCTACTTCCCGAACCTCCGTGTCTAGGTCCTGCCGAAAAAGACTGCAGCGGATCACCAACAAGAGCCGCCGTCTTGTGGCCTGCAGGAGAGTGACGGGAACCCGGTTTGACTTGTCCGCTTTGATCGAATCTAACTACTACAGGTGATCTCAACTCTCACTTACTTGAATATGTCCCCTGAGGTCTCACTATCCATAAAAGGATTTATCCCATTGAGGAATGAAGAAAGAGGGGCCGGGGACTTGTAGCTAAAGAGGGAGCCCAACCAGGGATATGCCCCGAGAGCGAGCTGCTTTGAATTGTAGGCGATTGAGCGAAAGAATCTATCATACAACACTAACTATATGTCATCCTAACGGTCAGTGACTGACCTACTAGTCGGCAGTCAGTAGCTTGCATTCGGTTAGCTCTTTCTACTGCATTCCTCCGCTTAACACAAAAAAGAAGCTCCAAAACCCATTCCGGTGGTGGATTGAAATGGGCTTTCGCCCTCGTGTCACGAGTACCTGATCGGGATTAAAAAGATGGTAAGGGTATTAGTTTCCTAGCACACCTCTGAACCACATAGTTGAAAAAGAGTTCTGTTCTGTAAGAGACTCCTTTAGGTGTCCTGAAGGAAATCCTCATCTTCTGGTGCCATGCGGATTTTCTTGTAGCCCATGTATCCGTCCATGAAGGACAGGACGGAATACCCCGTAGTGGCGTCCTCACTCCGTAATCGGAAGAGTGGGACAAGACGCTCAGATTTGCTTTATCCGCCTCTTCTCAATTACATCGACCCTAGTCTTAGTTATAGCAGTAGGAATGTGATCTTTGCCTTATCCGGATCTATCTACACTGTCTCAGCTCGTGCAAAGCGGTAACTATCTGAAGGAAGGGTACGGAGTTGATCCTCGCATCAAACTCTAAGCGCTAGTTTTTCCTTTTTCGGTCTCTTCTCTGGTATATTTATTTATATACCAGAGATTCCTTTTAGCTCTATCTTTTCAGAGACAGGAGAATTCCTTCTGTACTTACAAGAATGCTACTTAGGGAGAAGAATCTCTTGACTCAGGAGTACCTGAATCTATTCTTTCTGTGTCCCACATCTGCCTATGTTCAAGCATCCGCCACTCACTTCTTGGCTCTTATCTACGCCCCTCGAGCTCGAGAAAGAAAAAGAAAGAAAAGGGATGCACTTTTAATGGGGGCCTTTTCCGGGTACAAGTAATACAGTTTGTTACAGGTCAATCAGTTCTAAGCTTGCCTTAGCCTAGTGCTACGTCCTACTTCTACTCCATACCACTGCGGGGAAAAGGGGCTTTGATGCGTGGATTCCCTTGTTACAGTAAAGCACTAAAGCAAACAGGAGAGGAAGAAGGTGAGGAATCAGGTAAACAACCACTTATTCATATTCAACTAAATCTGCACATCCAACATCTAGCTTTCCATTATATTCTGTATGATATGAGAACGTCTGTGAGTAGCCAACATCTGTATCAGTAGCTGAGTCAATCGAAAGAAGGGCTTCTGAATTAGCTGAGGAAACCGCCCAGCAATTCCTCTACATCAAGAGCGGGCTCCGCCTAAGGAATTTCGTTTGAGACGAGAGGTCGAAACCATGTTACTGTAGCTTGTCTTTCATCCCCGGCCTGATACTGGTGGAAGATGAACAAAAAGGCATTTTCACCGAAAAAGAAAGAAGGGGATTTCGCCGCGTCCGCATCAGTCGAAGTGGTGGAAGGCCCCCCTGAGTCAAAAGGAGAGCTTAAATGCTCAAACTCCTGTGCTCCTGAATGAAAGATTGAAGTCTTTCTCCCATGGGAACAGAACTTTCGCATATAGCCCGAGGAAGCAGTATCTTAGGACAGGCGAAGAAAGCAGTTGAAAAGAAAGAAGCGATCATACGAAGCCTGTGAATGGGAAGGATTTCAGTCTATGCCATCTGTTCCAAATGTTCTATTCTTTATACGATCGAGAAACTGAACCAAGCTAGCCTTGGCTGCCTACGTACCCTTATGCCTGCTGCCTTTAGGGATCAAGTTTTGATTCGTAGTTCACTTCTTTTCACTGTCTAACTCACACTCTAGTTGATTACTAACCTTGGCATTCTCCTTTCGTGCTCATTTCTCTTAGTTTAGTATTTTTACGCGCTGAACCATGGGCTCTTACTTGGCTTAATTAGGCTCTTCTTCAAGAAAGCACAATTCCCTTTGGCCGACGCTGTAGAAAGAAGGAAATGGGTTTTAGCCTGACCTAGCTTCCTTGGTGGGAGTTGAACCAGTTGCCATAGAGTACGTGGATTCTCTCTTTCCTTCTTACGCCTAAGCTTAGGACAGGGACACTGACCACCAAGAAAAGAAAAAAAATAATCACATCAGAAATCAGATACAAAGAAGACAGGATTCCCTCAAGTAGACAGGCAAGTCTGACGTGCTAGCTCAATGTTGTTCATTCTTTGCTAAAGAAATGGGGGTTTTTTCACTACTTTTGCCAGTCAATGGGTGGAAGATTAGGTTCCCTTTCTCGTTTTCTGGTTAGGAAATAGCTTTCTCAGCGATCTGCCTCATTGCAGGAGGAAGGAACCAGAGCAACCACTGGAAGGAAGCCTAATGGTATGATTTCAGACCATGCTTGGGGCGCTTCCTCCTTAGTTAGTGCTTTTGAAGTATCCATTGAAATCTCTCTGCCCGGTTTCCATCAAAACCTCGTAGCTTCATTCCTTCGCCAGCCGCATCCGGTTACGGGCATAGACACTGAAAGAAGAAACTAAATAACTCATCTTTTATGAAAGGAGCTGGATAGCTTCGGCATAAAACATGTAATTTCGTGAATATGATATTCTTCCTAGGGAAAGTTTTTTAAAGTTAGCGACTCATAGTACTATGATAGGTGGTTGGATACGCCGTTAGTTGACGCGGTTCAGAGCATCCCGGATTTTGCAAATCTCGATGCCACGGTAGAACATTACATCGTCGATGGTAGTTGGCGCGAGGATATGATATTTACTGAGTTACCTATGGAACTGGCGATTAAGGTTTATGGATACCCGCTATCAAAACTAACAGCATTTGATGATAGGTGGGTCTGGAGACATTCTGCCAATGGGGTTTTCACTTCTATCTCGGCGTATATGGCTCTCTTGGATGGTGGTGAGGTGGATGAGAACATTCCTTGGAGTCAAATATGGAAGATCAAGGCACCGGCAAGATGGTTACAGTTCTTATGGTTGGCATATAAAGGTAGACTGCTTACAAACAATCTGCGGCTTCGACGCGGCATGTGTGACTCCGAGATATGCAGCCTTTGTGGAGGATGCTCGGAGACCATTCTACACTCTCTTCGGAACTGTCCTCATGCTAAGGCTGTCTGGCAATGTTTTCTTACGGCTGATCGGTGGGAGAACTTCTTTGCTTGTCATTTGGGTGAGTGGCTAAATGATAATCTGTTTGAGTATAGCCCGATGGAGGTTCGATGTAATTGACTTTTTTTTGACTTCACTTCGCTTCGTTCGTTGGGTATTTTCCTCACTACGTTATGGCGCATCTGGACGAGGCGATGTACTTACATTTTTGATGGGGGAGGGGGTGATCTAAACCCAAAAAGCGTGGTGGCGAATGTTTGGCGAACGGTAAAGGAAATGGAAGATGCTTTCCGGAGGCCGTCCTCATCGGGAAAGGGGAACGTAGAAATTGCATGGAAACCACCGGCGAACGGGGTAGTAAAGATTAATACGGATGGAGCTTCGTTGGGGAATCCGGGAGTGGCGGGCGCTGGCGCATTTCATGTAACAGGGCGGGTAGAAAGTGTTGGTACAAAGTGCGTGAACCAGACATACAGATGAAGAAAAGAAGACCATTTCAACTCTTGGGCGAACGAGCGGCTCTACGACGGATTTTCAGAGTACTTTTCTACCCGTAGTGCACATTGGGCCTGTCACTTGAGAACAAAGAAAATGTCAACAGCGAATAAGCTCTTCGTAGTATGATAATAATTTCTTGTGTAAGATATAGATTGTTTTTCGGGCCTTAGACACCTTAACGGGCTGAAAGAGTTCCCGCGGATGGAAAACCTCCGCCGAGTGGTAGTGAGTGTAGTTGTCTATGATTCGAGCTTTCTCGAGAATCTATTCTTTTATTCTATAGAATTTCTTCTCAATTACATCGACCCTGTCGGCTCACCTATAAATACCCCGGACTGTTCGCTGCGTAGCCTCAACTTCGTCGATCCTGTCAAGTTGCTATTATCCTTCGTACTCTTCGTCTATTGCTAAGTCTTTCTGGAAATGTCGCGACGAATCCAGGGCTGCGTGAGTAATAAATAAGGTAGGATAGATATTAGGTAGTTGGTCCGTTAACCGGCCCCCCTTTCTTAGCGCTATGAACCTACTTACTAAAAGGGCTATTGTAGTCGCGAGTCTCTTTCTAGTCGCGACTCTTGTCAAATGCTGACATGAGCCAAGAGCCTATTCGTCTAGTTCGCCTTTGAAGAACCAGCCTTTCCGAGTCCGGGAGAGAGTCTTCGAGTTCTGAAACAATAGGCGAAACCGCTTTCTATTCCTCCTTTCGCCGCTTTTAGAGTGAAGGGCTTCCATTGATACGGATCCCCTTTGAGCCAGATATTCATTCTGAAGACTTTAGGACCATAGCCCGTTCTGATATCTAAGGTATGAAAATCCAATTCGTGAGACCAAACCCCTTCCCAGATGGCAGGGGCAATTACCTTGTTATTAACCGATTGAAACTTTAATACAACCGATTTTTTCTCCTATACTATATATTTAGTAACGATTTAGATAGCCTGATTCTATTCCTTGCTAGGCTGCTTCATCTTTCACTTCGAAAAGCTGCTTTGCTTCTACCTAGTGACGAAAGAATCTCGTCTCAGTAGAGAATTCCGCTACGCGAATAGCCCGACTCCACTCCTACTAAGGATCCAGATACGCTACGAAGGTTCGATGAAATTGACGATACAAACTTTTCGAAGCGCAGTGAAGTCAGAAATAGTAGAGGAAAAGGAATCGAATGATGGAAAGCACAGAGTAGAACATAACGAATACGAGTTTATTCGAATCATTCTTTAGTGGTTGGGTTATTCACTTGGAGTTTGCGAATTAGATTCATCTCTATACGCTATTTCTGCAGTGTTCATCTTGGTCACTTCCTGGCATTTTCTTTCTTCGGGTGTTGGGATTGGTGTCTTCTTTTCTATCCTCCCACGGTTTCGGATCGTGGAAAAGGTCTTGTCAGAGCCTTTAAATGAAATGCGTCTTTTAATGTGTTCGATGAGAGAAGAGAAGAAACCCCTTGTATATCTTTTTGTTAGATATTAGGGGCTCTACAATGGGCTCCGCGTCGAAGCTCCACAAGAATCAAACTCCCTTCGCTCCCTCTTCGCCAACCATTCGGGCTGCCGATTCGGTTCTTCCTTCGCTGCTAACGCTTACATCTTCTTCTTAGCTACGCGGCAATAAATCAGCTCTCAATTACATCGACCCTTACCTACATTATTATCATCTGCCCGTTCGCCGCGACTATATAAGGTCGTGTCATCTTCGTCGCGTAGCCTACATTATCTCATTTGTACGACTCCGCTTCTTCGCCGTTACGGTACTAAAGACACTTCGCTGCGTAGCCTCAACTTCAATTCAAAGTGAAATTTTTTCTTTGCGTCGTCATGGTTCTATTCACTTCAATTCAATTCCTTCTATTGCGATATTTATTGAGCTAGAGAATCAATTCATCGAAACGAATAAAGAACTCTTAAGATCATCCTATGCAGAGAGAGGACTTGGAGTAGTTCGCAGTTAGCTGAAATAGAGTTGAATATCCAGAGAAATAAGGGAGAAGCAAAGAATAAGCCCGCTGATTACAGCTTTATTGACGAGTAAGGTGTAAGGCTCAGATGGTATCACATAGGATAACAGGATTTAGAGTTCAGGAGGGGGTTGATAACTAGATGCGTAGCGGCGAACAGAACGAATGGTTGGCGAAGAGGGTGGCCGCGAACCTGCGACGAAGACCTAATCCACCATGTCACCCAATCTGGCTGAACCCTTCTGACTAACCTAACTAGTGGCCCTTCCTTTGCTCTAACCAGCTCTTGCTCACCCCCCAAGATGCCTTAGTCTCAGATATCTTTCAATGTACCCTCTTATTCGAGGGATACTACCAAAGGGAATACCAACGAAAAAAAGGAATTCCGGCACACAAAGAAGCTAATCGAACCTTTCAGACCGAGAAAAGATAAAAAAACAAGAGGAGAGTGGAGTTCTCTTAGTACTTGTCAACTAAGTCAGCAGAAGGCATTCGATGCATAGATAGTTGATTAAGCGGCAAACCTATACCCCAACCCCAAGTGTGGAGATCCTTCGGAAGCTCTTATCAAGTGTAGTTCTTGTCTCCTTAGTTGGTACCATTAATAGCTAGCTTACCCATTTCCTGTTTAAGACTCTGGATGATAGGATCAGAAGAATGTGGGCGATCAAGAGTGAGTATGAGCTGATAGACATTGGCTGTGGTTTTTTCCTTGTCAAGTTCACGTGTCCATATGATCTGCAGTTTGCATTAGAAGAAGGGCCATGGATGATTTTTGGCCATTACTTGACGGTGCGTAAATGGACCCCAGAGTTTCGGCCAAGCATCGCTAGTATTGATTCCACTGCTGTATGGGTTCAGTTCCCTGGTCTGCCTATTAGGTACTATAATGATAGGATGTTGTTATCCATGGGTAATACATTGGGAAGGGCTTTGAAAGTTGACCAAAACACTAGATTTGCATCGAAGGGGAGGTTTGCTCGGGTCTGTTAAGAGGAAAATTTGAATAAACCTCTTGTTCCAAAGATTTGTATTGATGAAGTTTGGCAGCCAGTAGAGTATGAGGGCCTTAAAAGAGGCTGATTGGTTCTTAAGTCCCATAAGGCTCTGGTTAGGTCCGAAGGTCTAGCCTTAGCAGCAGGTCCGCTATAAAGCCTAGCGCGTGTAAAAAGGGATAAAGAAGCTCTTCCAAAGTCAGACAAGACAAAGTTAGTTGTTCGGACTATGAGCCGTCCTGTCTTTTTTGGTATTCCCATCATATACTGGTACAAGATGGTGAAGAAGTTGGGTTTTGATGGCTTCCACATTGCTGATCCAATTGGCTATGCGGGAGGAGTCTGGTTGTGCTGGGCTATACAGCAAGTGTCTGTCGATATTTTGTACTCTTCTTCGCAATGTATTCATGCTTTTGTCAAGCAACCGGGGAAGGTAGAATGGGCTCTTGTCAGCAGTATATGCTAGCCCATTTTTTGAACTGAGACGGAGGCTTTGGGAAAGTTTTGAAGACCTGGCTCACGAGGTTAAACTTCCATGGATGTGTTAATTGGAGACTTCAACGATATGCGTGATAGTACTGAAAAGCTCGGGGGTTCAGGTTTAGCAGTAAACAGGTGCTTGAGATTTAATAGAATGATTGATCAGTGTGGCTTGATTGACTTGGGTTATAAGGGGCCAACTTTCACTTGGCAAGGAACTTGCAGAGGTGGGGTAAGAATCAAGGAAAGGCTGGATCGGATTTTAGCTAATTCTGAATGGCGTCTGACTTACCCTGAAGCAGTGGTGAAGCATTTGCGGACGTCAAGGACTGAACTTCGCTTCGAAAAGTTTGTTGGGTCGATTACATTGACCTGCTACCCTCCTCGTTGACTTAAGATAGGACGGACTCTTTCTTTCCTCAGGCAAGTACCAAGGGCTAGGCTAGTTTCTTTCTATTCCGACCGGTAAGACTTTCTATAGTTGACATGCAGGGTCCTCTAGTCTTCGTGTCAGTATACCAGGTAGAATCATCTGCGTTGGAGGTCAGCAAGGGATTTCTGGAACCAGCTGCAAGCGAAGAAGCCAAACCTAGTCTGTCGACTTGATGTACCAAGGTGCTGTACTGTCCTGAACGCCCTCAGCTTCAGTCTAAACTCAAAGGTCTCTTATCTGTGGAGTCTTTCCCCATCTTCTTTGTAGGGTTTGAGATTGTATAGGTGTATTTCTTCCTTTTTTTTCTATTTTATATCCCCCCATCGATAGGCTTAGAGGCGATACACGGTGTATTCAATATCTATCTACGCTTTGAGTCAACCGTTCGCCTAGCAGCAGAGTTTATGTAATTCGACTTTCTGAAAAAGGTTATAAGTCGATGTGCAAGAGAGGCTGTGACTACACCAGTGTTGAGAAGCTGAAAGGCGAATCGGATAGCTCACTCTTTCTTACTTCTGTCTCCGTAAGTGAATTGATCCAGAAAGCTCCGCCCGCCCAAGGGTCCTCATAGAGGTTTAGGCTTGCCCCAGAATAAGAGAGGAATATTAAAGAACCGGAACCTCCGGACGACATAAACCGTAATAGGTCGAGTCACTCGACTTACAAG